AGAGGTGTGGGACCAACTATTAACGACAACATACTCTATAGCAAAACAACGTATGAACGGATGCTCTTAATCTGATCTGATGGAAAAAGGATGACGCATAGCCACCACGCTGGGGGCTTCAGCGGCGGCGTGTCCCTCATGGTGAGCCTACAGCAGTACGATTCCCACAACGGCAGCGTCAACATCGCGTTCCGCATTCCATCCGCACAGCATCACGGCGGCGCCGTGGGGTACCTGTTCGCTCCGACGACGGCCGACCATCAGATGGACAGCGGCGTGCACCCGAGGCACCACGTCCAGTTCGACGGCTTGGCATTGACGGCAATTCTCCGCACGGGCAGGAGCACTACCGGGGCCTGCAGGGCGCCTGGTTTCACCTCCTGCAGGACCTGGGCGGGTGATCTGATCCACCACCCATCGGCCAAAGCTCTAGCTGCGAGTGAGTTGTGACAGATGGAGACGTCGTGTCGGCACCAAGCTAGCTACGGCCAGGTGCCGCTGCAGCCGGATGCATGGCATACACTCGTGCGCGCGCCCATCTGGCCAGCAGCGCTGTGTACGCACAGATTTGCATTGTTTGGCTTGTTGCTTGCCTGGCTCATGCCGCTCTCGGTCTCAATCGGCAACGCCGCTGCCGCCGGCTTGGCCGGGGCTAGCTAGCTGCCACACAGCCGTTGGAGTCCTTCGATCAGCAGTTCTGCACCTAGCTGCCATGATGAAGCTTCAGCAAGTACGAAGGTTGGGAGGAGGGGCGCACGCTGTACGTCCTACGTGATTTGGCATCTGATGAGGCCATCGACCGTCCCCAATGTGGACTCAGGAGACGTAGGCTCCGACGCAAACTACGTACGCTGACAGGGGAGCGGGGTGATTATGCGACGATAACGTTTCATATTTTTTAGGTGTAGATAGATAGATAAGGGCAGGAGCTCTGCCATTCAATTAAGGAGGAAAGAAGGTTTAGGTTACAATGGCAGATCCACATCACGCCTAATCAGGACACAAGGGGATTATACAAGTGAGTAAGGTCTCCTTCCAATAAGAGTGTGGGATTATACAAGTGAAGGCTATACTTTCACATATGTCTTTTGACAACCATAATAAAACAATAAAAGTGTGACAACACAGCAGCTCCCCCTGAGGCCCTGGTCATCAACGATGTTTTGTTTATCAACAAATCTATTAAGGAATCACTATCGGTATTAGCTTATTAGGGAACCACTAGCACTATTGCCCACTGTTTTACTGCCAATATTTCTCTATCACTAGGCGTACTTAAACATATGTATTGTGACAAAAATCAAGTTCGCTAGCATCCATTACTGCTCTAGACAGACCCAAATACAAAAAGTCCCAACTGCGATAATAAGCACAGTTTACCGTATCTCGTTGAAGCCGCGCGCCGTGCAGCGGGTAGGCAGAGTTCGGCAGGAAGCTGCCGAGGCTACCCAAGGGGACCCCATTCCGGGGCAGTACGCCACAGTTCGATCCGAAGCCTCCGAGGAGAGTGCTAAAGAGAGGTTTCCGCACGCACGGCCTGTTGGCTCCGTTCAGCCGCCGAAATCCGGCAGCGGCGGAGGTAGTCTGGGAGGGATCGAACCGGGAGCCGCGGAGAAGGTGGCCCGCCGTGAGTATGCGGGAGCAAGGCCGCATAGCGCCTGGCGGCGGCCGCGGCGGGCCGGCGGCGGCCGCGATGGGTAGGGTCAGCAGACGCAGCGTTGAGGGCTGGAGGCGGAAGCTGGACTCCCTCTGGCTGTGGAGAATGGGATCTTTTCCACTTTTCCTCCTCTTTTCGGTCTATTTTACCCTTTTTCCTTTTTGGGTTCACTAGTGTTTAAAACGGGATGATTCATCGCACCTGGACAAATTTGTGATGAGTAACGAATTCGTACGGATGCGTGCTAATGGTAGCCCGACCACAAATTAGTCGACGACTGCAGGCACAGCTAGTACTGCTTAGAATTTAGCCACGATTTAGCATGTCCTGTGCTTTAGTTTATTTTTTTTGTGTCCGAGGCGAAATCAGGGAGGGCCAAATCAATCAAGGATCGAAAATTTGGCGAGCCAATGTTTTGGCTGGCCAGACAACATCCAAATAAGTCTTAAAATTTAAAATGCTTTCCAAAACTTGATAGTTAATTTTACACTGTCACTTCCTTTGGCAGCACTAGTCATACTTTTGTGCCTAAGTGGGTTGGTTAGAGATGTTTATGCCTTATATTATACTCTATCTGTCCAGTAACATAGTGCTTTCTACGAATTTTAAGACAAATTAAGAGAGAACATAAAAAACGCATGTATCCTCGTTTTATTTCCTAATCAGATGTTATCATCAACATGATTAATGGTGATTGGTTGATAAATAGAAATATTTAATGTAAAATTGATTTTTGTCCTCAAGAATGCATTATATTTTATGACAAATTTTAAACGCTAGAATACACTATATTATAGGACGGAGGAAATTATGATCTAAAGCAGCTTGGGGTAGGTAGATTAGACACCTAGATCAACTCATGGATACAGACATCGTGACTTGATCAATCATATTAGTAACCTCATTTCTAAGGTGATCAACGATTTGTAAAATGATTGAATGTTTACTAATTTATGTCTTCGTCTCATATGCATACACTAAACACTTGTGAATAAGGAGCTTAACTTTTTTTCTACCCGCTTTTCTGAAGTGGATGTGACTTTTGGTGTGCCACCTCCCTCTCTATTGCCATTAGCATCACCCTCGCTCTGATCTAATGGAAGAACATCAATACCACTTATAGGAACAAATAAAGTCTTATTTATAATACTAATTGTTTCAAACATGATCCATTTATGGCCCTATGCTCAAGTGAATTATCTCTAAAGGTTAACAATTTACCATAGCATAAAAACACTTATCAACAAAAATTAGATATTTGTGAGGTTATAATACTAATTGTTTCAAACATGATCCATTTATGGCCCTATGCTCAAGTGAATTATCTCTAAAGGTTAACAATTTACCATAGCATAAAAACACGTATCAACAAAAATTAGATATTTGTGAGGAGGGACATGATGACTATATTTGGGGGAAGAGACATGATTACTTGCTTATGTGGTGAAAATAATAGTGAATTTTGTGCACATTGCATTTTCCTCTATCCACCTATCATCAAAAACCACGATACAGCTAGTTGTAGGATGGCAGAGGCTGGAAGCTTTTCGTTCCAAAGTCGTGTATCATCTCGATGTACTGCTACTGGATTGCAATAAAATCTTCCGTTTCAAAAAAAAGCTAGTTGTAGGATACCTCCCTAATCCACTACATCAAAGCTCAAAGTATTCCATATTTTTTATTGTATCCATCTATTCTTTATTCGCTCCTAACTGAATGGCCTTTTGGCACTTTATAATATCTTCTATGCAAATGTCGTTGAATTCCTCGACGACAAAAGCATCCCATCTTGTCTGAATTGTTGCCGTCTTTTTCATTTCCAACCATAGACTATTAAAATATTGAAAACACAGGCATTTAGCACTCCATCTGATCTATGTTGGTATCGATCCATATATAAAAAATTATCTATGTTCCCTAACCACGCTATCCATCTATAACCTGTCCATTTGCAATGTAAATAAAATTTACATTCAATACATCTAAACTATCATGTTTTTGAGAAGAGAAGTTCCTAAATATATCTTAGACAAGCAGGTGAATGGGGGAGCAGAGGCGGGACGAAGGTTGACCAAGTGTGTGGCGATAGATCGATTGTACCACGGTGCATGGAGACATGATAGTGAGTGGGAGGCAGAGATTTGCCAGCGTTGGACAGGGGAGCCGAGGGATACACTGTAGACCAGAGAGGAGGGCAAATGGGGGAAAGGAGGGAGGGGTGGATAGGGGAATGAAGGGAGGGTGGATGGGGAGCGGAGAGAGGGGACAACGGGTTGGAAAAACGCTCACGATGGAGGACATGCAAGTGGAAGGCGATGATATCAAAACTACTCGATCGAGTGCATGTTAGATTTTTTTGCCGCCCAATTCTCATGTTATTTAAGAATAATCAAGTACTTTGAGTGAGATTCTCGATTATTTTCACCCAGATTTCAATTTTTAGCAGTCTCAAACATGCCGAATGTGTGCTTATTAACACACGTGCTTGGATAGATTTTGTCCTTTGCTAGATGCTAGCTCGACTAACTTTAGCATATGTTAGTCCTATAGTTCAAATGCTTGAGATTACGAGAGATTTCAGACAACAATTTTGTGAGTAGTTTGCTTCAACCAAGAACGCTAGCAGTCAATGGTGATGTAGGTTATGGCCTATTTGAAAGAGTTCCAACTATAAAATAAACAGCTTCAGAGCACCACCTTCACCATGGAGTAGCTTCATTCTGGAGTTGGCCTCTCACAATGGGGCTAATGGACTTACTTGACTTGGAGGTTAGCTTCGTATCTAGAAAATTGAAGTTTTTGTGGGAATGGTTGCTTATACCCTTGGGAGGTTGCATGATAAATGTTTTGACATGGTCTAAATAAACTCTATATTTTTTTGAATAACGCCATAATGAAAACATTAATTTCAAGGTTTGTATAGTTTTCATGTCAAAATTCTTAAGTGCACATGAGCATCCAACGTCGATGTAACAAAATAAAACCATGTCAACATGGGATAGATAATTAACCATGCACATGAGAATATCCCAACACAAATGTCGATTTCCATAGATAGAAAATTAAACTAAATGTTGAACTGAGACTACAAATTCAAGTCTTCTATTACATGCAAGACCAATAGTGGTGGCCAATTTGTCAAAAAATACATATATAATAATTGGGGCATTGACTTCGATAGTAAATCCGATTTAGTTTCATATCAGTTATTCCTTTCTGGTATTGTGGGGACAAAATTAGGATTACCAAAGCAGATTCCAAATCTTTAGTATTATGCTCATGAACGAAATTGCCAAGGGCCATACAAGCAACATCAATCATTTTTTTTGAAGAGCAAACTTTATTACTCATTGGCCGCAGCAGAATCGCTGGCCTCTCGACCCTCTACAAAGTGATGTACATCATCCCACATGACCTGATCATCATTGAGGGCACAACTCCCATACTCAGCAAGGGCATCAGCTATAGAATTACAAAGTCTAGGACAAACACAAATACTGAAAGAACTAAATTCTAACATAAGCAGGAGCCGAATTTCTGTGATTATCCCACTCCATGCTGAGAGCCAATACTCGTCACCTTCCAACGCCGCCTTGACCAGTGTAGCATCAGTCTCCAAGATAACTCGAGACAACCCCATTGATGCTGCCATTCTTACACCCACCAGGCAAGCAAACAATTCTGCATGGAGAGGGTTCATAAGAAACTTCTTGTCACATGCTCCTGCTTTCACCATTGTTCCATGGTCATCTTGGATAATGAATCCCCAGCCGCCATGACTACTGATGCTGTCAAAGGCTCCATCCAAATTGATCTTGAAAACCCTAGGTGGTGGCTTGGTCCACTTCTAAACCCGACGAGTTCCTGACAATAGAGACACCCCAGCTTGATTCTGAAAACGGTTAGACAAAGCAGCTGTAACATACACTATGTCCACTACAGTTCTTCTCCTTCCTTCCTCCCTCCATTTATTCCTTTTAGTCCACCATAACCACAACAACAAGACTACCTTCAGTTGCGTCTTTGAATTGAGCTTCAAAATTTTCTCCATCATAGTTCTAGCTGATTTAGCCAGCAAAAGATCAGACCGCACCATCTCCAAATTCAGTTCACGCCAGATGGGTCTAACTTCTTTACATTTGAGGAAGAGATGACCTCCATCTTCGTCTAGTCTCCCACAAATACCGCACATATCATCTATCTTCATCCCCCTTCTTTGCAAATTCCTTTTGAGCGCCAGCGTGTTGTGAATGAGCCTCCATAGGAAATGTTTAACCTTAGGTGGACAGTCAATCTTCTAAATTTTCCACCAGAAATCATCATTGCCACTGCTGAAACCCGCCCCCCATGACCATCCACTCTTTTCTTTCTGTTCTCTGAAGCTCGGTGAACCTTATACGCCGATTTCGTAGAGAAACGACATTTGCTGTCATAATGCCACCCCACTATGTCTGGCATATCTAGGTGGATTGGCAGCGATTTGATCATAGAGACTCTTCATCTCAGAACGTTTGTGCCAACAATTGTTCATCCCATTGCTCTGAAATGGGATCGATCAGCTCTTCGACTGGTTGCAATAGTGTGCTGCCTCTTGGTGTAATTGGCTTCCTTGTCACTCCACGAGGTAGCCAGTCATCATGTAGCAGAACTGACCAATTTATAAGAGCACAAGTACAAGGTCAACCACTGGAGCGGTCGCGCTGTCATACTTGAGCCCATATAAACCCAATAGTCCGTCGAGTGTCACGAAGGACCTCGAAACATCCAACATACCAACCAAGATCGTACATGATTCAACATCCATGTCATACGTTACATAAAGTTCACAAATAGTTCATAGTACATCGGAGTTCCAATATAAATATTACAACACCAAGTTCAACTGTAGTAGCGGAAGCAATATAGTTTTGAAACCATTATCACACACACGTTTCAAATACATGCCAGTTCATGATCAAGTCCGACAAAAAGTATCATAGGTAAGACAACACAGAAGGGCCATGCCCGTGGCCCACTCCTCGTCCACAGCTGGAGAGAAGCAGTTCTTACAGTACCCATGATACACTATACCATCTGCAATAGGTGGGAAATAAACCCTGAGTATGAGAAGGTACTCAGCTAGACTTACCCGTCATAAACCAAGAATAAAGCGACACCAAGGATCATGCAAGGCTTTATAAGTGGAGCTAGCTTGACAACATTTTGCATAAAAAGCCACTAGTTGAACTACATATTTTATAATTCGGTCTTCAAGTTAATTATAGCTATTCAACTCTAGATTAGCAACTAACCTATGCCAAACATGTGTTATACAACTATGTAGCACAACAATAGTAACCATAGCCATTTATTATATCACCATCATAGCCATTTCACTTTCATTGTTCTTACTACGATAGAAGGAAGCTTAGTTGAAGCGACCTGATTTCCGCGAAGGAAAATCCACAGAGTCGAAGTGTAATAAGACCGTTGTAGATCATATTACCCAAATTCCAGTCGAATATCACATCCATACAACGATAATATTAGAGTACAATTAGTGCGGAATTACATAAATTATTACATCGCCGCATTGGCGGAATCAAAAGTAGCATTCATTCAGGACAGCTTGAAGATAAGATCGCTAAACTCGAGCGTAGAAACGAACCCCTCAACCGTCAAACTCCTCGGAGCTATACTCTTTAGCAGAACCTGTGTGCCAAAATTTATCAGTACGATTTGTACTGGCCACTCCCACCCTATGCTTTGTAGAAATTGGATGTAAATTGGATATAATCAAAAGGAACCTATAAGGCTGGGGTTTCCTATGTATTAGCATATCAAGTATTTAATAATAGTTGGTCAAGTTTTAACACCATTCCCACACCCATTCCACCCCATTTCCGTCTAGAGCCAGGTTTCGATCCTAGGATCGATATACCACCATCTCCACATCATCACCACATCACAACCATACCATCGCTCAGTCGATAGGCCAACTCCCTCTCGACACCGTCTCAAGGCCCATAGCCCCTGGCTACGTCCGAACACTCACTCTAGGGGGAGAAGAGAAGGACTCATCCCAGGATAGGTCCATAGCCGACAAGTCAGCATATGTATCGATCGATCAACCATACACTATGCAGAGGTTTTACATAACCACAAGATTCGCCTTCCTCGCTGACCGTCGTCAACTGGGCTGATTCCGGCCGCTTGCTAGCCTAGGATAATGCCACTCTACCATTCAGCCCTGGTACACCCCAAGTCTAGTCTGGGGTGGCTGAAACTGTGAGTCATGAGCTGGGTCCACAAGGCCTCCATGAAGTCTCGGAAGGGTGTGGGGGAAATCCTCCGCGCCCCGTACCTCCTTACACTGTCCGCTATCAACCTAGCAGTAGTGATAATATCCTACCCAGTAGTTCGGCCGTCCCGCACCATATAGGGCGAGTGGTACGTAAGGCTTCCCGGTGAATCTGAGTACTAGTAAGTCCTTAGGGATGACCAAGCCAGAATGTCTTCATCAGGGTTTTCATTTACCATGCCACCACAACACCTCCACCATGGGCTCCTCCCATCATAGGTTCACACCCAGGGCCACCTCATATACCATTTACCCACCACATGTATCCATTCCAGGGGTGCCCAGGTAGAACCCCACGGCAAGACTTGCTCCAGGCTCGTCGTATACTCCAACTTGGTTGACACAACCCTCACCCTCCACGCACCCAAGTCACACACGCAGCACTCTGCCCATAGTCCAGATAACACCAGTTTTCCACCACGCATCAATGTAGTACAAGCGTAGTAGAAGTAATAAGCAATGAAATATAGCAGCAAACGTGTGACTAGCCTAACAGCAGGGTGAGCAGGGGTAAGGTTGCGTCAAGGTAAAGGCCATCAAGAAAGCATACTACCATGCAAGTCCTATCATAGTGTGGTTATAACAATAAAGTAAAGCACTAGCATTTCTATTTTAGCCATGCATAATAGGTGCTACGAGATTAGGTGGGATGTGGCACCTTCAGTGTAGTCGTCTCCGTAATCCTCATGGTACTCACGATCCTCGTCCGTCCGGTTCTCCTCCGAGTCTGCAAACGATCACATTATAGTCGCGTTAGCGACGTCTATAGAATAGCACAAAGAAGCAATGAAAATTCAAAAGAGCCAAATGCACTCAAACATGGGTTCATTGCATAGAGCTCGATTTTAGATGAATTTTGGTCCTGGTTTTATATTTTTCTGAGGTCGTATGAATTAGTTATGAATTTCTGAAGATTAAATCATCTCTGAAAATGGAAAAAGGCTGAATTAATCCTGGGTTGACACGTGTCACGCTGTGACTGGTCCACGTGGCATGCTGACGTCAGCATGACATCAGCATCTCGGTTCCGAGCTGACAGGTGGGGTCCAATTGACGTCAGCATGACGTCATCAACGTCATCAGTTCCGATAGGTGGGTCCAGGGGCTCTTGGGTCACTGACATGTGGGTCCGGTCAAAGTCAACGTCAAGTCAAGGCGAGTCAACGGTCAATGGTCAGGGTCACTGACTTGTGGGGCCAGGGCTGCTGACGTCAGTAGCTGATGTCATCGTGACATCAGCATGATGTCACCTTCGGCTGTGTTATTACTGACAAGTGGGTCCCGCGTGACGTCAGCATGACATCACCATCCGACATGTGGGTCCAGAGTGTTTGTGCCACTAACATGTGGGGCCAGGTCAACGGTCAATGGTCAACACGGACCGGGACCGAACTGGGCCGGTTGGGCCTAGATATGGGCTGGATTTGGGTCGGGCCGGCCGGACACGTGGCAAGCTGTGGGGCTACCACGTCGTAGCCATGGGCTCCCACTAGGCTTCGTCTACCATGCGGCCCGCACTGTGTGGCTCATGGTGGACTCAAGTTCACGGTCCATGGACCATTGGCAGGTCTACGATGGACCGAGTCCACCCTCTTTCCCTTTTGTCTTGGCTCACGTGCACCGAGAGCAGGCGCGTGCGGTCGGCGAAAAGGGGCCTCTGCTTCCGTCCCCGGTGTGCTCCTGCCGGTGATATGCTCGCCGGCGCGATTCTCCGATGGCGTTGGCATCCAATTAAGGTGGAGGAAAGCTTCCCCAGGCCATGGCAAACATGATGGTGGTGTCTGGGTGGCGGCCGGGGCTCTCCAGGGCGTTGGCCATGGCGGTCGGCGGCTTGGTCATGGCGGTGCTCGCCGGCGGGGTAGCTAGGGGCCGTTCCAAGGGTCTTGGTGCCCCGTTCCCTTTCATACGGCCAGCGGGAGACCGAGACAAGTGACGACGACGACCAAAAGACGTGGCGGAGTCCGCGCAGTGATGGTGCACGGTGGAGCTCCGGCCGAGGTTCGGTGTTCATGGCCGGGGTGCTGTGATCGGCTATCAGGGTCTTGGGCTACGCGGCTATCCTTCGGGCGTCCTGGTGGTGCTACGGCGGTGTCCTAGTCCGGTGAGACGGTTCGGGTGCGCAAGCGGTGGCCGCGCCATGATGGCGGCATTGAGAGCGCGGCGTGTGTGTGCTCTGCTACGGTGTCCAGGGGCTATGAGGGGTCTTAGCAGCGAGGGCTCACCGTTGGTGTCGAAGGCGATCGGATGGCGGTGCAGTGGAGGGTCGTGGCTATGAAGACGGAGGTAGTGTAGTGCCGACCTGCGACCGTGATGAAGACGATGGCGTCATCCTTGGCTTCGTTGACTTCGGCAGCACGTGGGTGGCTCCGTTCCTCCCCTCCCGAACTCCTTCTTGG